GTTTGAATATGTTTTCAATAGAGATATTGTGGTACGTTTTTTTCCACCTACGTATATATTAATTGGAAGTGCGTTGAAAAAAAATATTATACAACTTTTCTTTTTATCACATCTCATGTGCACTTCTGTGAATTAATTTATTTTAGCTGATCCATTGAATGTCTTACTCTATTTTCTCCATAACTTTGCCAGAACTAGTCCAAAATCCTCAGATCTTGTAATCTGCTGAATACCGAAAAATAAAAGATTCTGAAAAGTTTATGAGGGGTGTGACAGAAGTCTTATAGGTTTACTGTGGTGACAATATGATATTTGACAACTGAGAGAAGACTATAGATTTGTATGTTTGATTTGCATTAATGTTAGAAACTGCAAGCTTTATACTAGAAATGCACCCCTGCCCCAAATATCTAAGAGAAAGTTATATTTAAAATAGTTCATTGATCCATTAACAGTACCAATTCTGTGTTTTGTGTACATAAGTTTTTCAAATAACACTGTTTTTCTAACAAATTAAGGTCATACCAAAAAAAATTCCAACCTTAATTAAAAATAAAAATTTTTATTGCATTTTTTCATTTTATTTTTATTTTTCTGACCGACTGCTTAAATTTTGAGCTTTTATTTTCATTTTTATCTCGACCCTCCGACTCAAATTTTTGAAAAAAATTCCCGTAAAACAGAAAATAAAAAAATGTTGGCCTAACTGTATAATAAACTTAGCCCACAGTCTGACTTTGGTTGAGGCATTACTGTTCATTTTGATCAAATGTACAGTTTTCTTTCTAGATGACAGTTGCCTTGGACATGGGAAGATTTTAAATATATTATTAATTCTGCTCCCCAGGTTCACCGAAAGATGCTCTGTACTAGAATTGTAAAGCTTCAAGTTCAACCATTAAGAGTGAAAATAGGAGTGTATATGTAGTTTACTTAATACATGTAGCATTGTAACATTTAAGGTTTTCAATCCCTAATAGGACCTAATTCTCTATCCTTATATATCCATCAAGTATATAATACTCTGATATTAATTCAAAGCATTTTACAGTAGAAAAGGATTTACCAAGAGAAAGTTTCAAAAATCTAATTAACTAAGCAGTAATTAATTAACAGAAATTGCATTGAAGATTATGAAGACAAGCGATTTTTTCAAAATAAAAATTCAAATAATAAGAATATCAATAAATACTGTGGTGGAAAGATGCATTAAATCATTAGAAATAGAATGACATTGAAAATAATTTTTTGACCGTATAGATTTTTTAAAATTGATTTTTATTACTTAAAAAAAAAGAGGGAGATAACTCTTCAACAAAGGTCAAGGTCATAAATTAGGACACGTTCCATTCTTACATGCTAACAGTAATAAATGGGAATTATGTCTAAATATACTGAGTATTCCACCCGCACATGTTATGTATTCAAATTCATTGAATCTGAGGCTATTAGGGATGGAATACCTTAAATGATCTTTTAAATTCACCAATTTAGGACTATATATATATATATATATATATATTCAGTTATGAACAATATTCAGTGCCCCCAAAATCAAACCTATAATTATGTTCTAAACCAGGGGGACATCTGCAGTCTTCAAAGCATTAAATATTTCATCAGTCATGATGCCATTCATTAAATATGATGTCAGAAGTGACGTAAATTCAAAATTTCCATGATTTATAGAGAAAAAGGTGTATATTACATCGATATTTCAAGTAAAGTTCAAAGAGTGCAGGTCTACTCTAATTCAAATGTTTTGATATAATGTGTAGAATGATTATATCAATGAAATATATGAATATTGTTATGGAGCAGGTTTGCACTCCATATATTTATTGTAAAAATTGAACAAATTTTGTCCTTTTTTTCCTTTTTCTGAAAAATAATGCAAAATCCAAATAGTTTGTGATGTCATAGAAAGAACATTGCCAATAACATACTTTGAAACTATAATTTTTTTTTGTAGATTCAAATTTTTCATACAATATACAGTTAAACTTCGTTATCTCGAAGTTGACGGGACCGTTGATGAACTTCGAGATATCCGGGGGTTCGACATATCGAGGGTTATAATTCACATGAATTTCAAATAAACTGAGTGCAGTGAACATAATCTTAAAAGAAAAAACATGTCAAATTCCTTCTTGTTTGAAATTCTGTATACGATTTTTTTAATATACATCATACATGTGATATGTACAGGCTGTACGCAAATGTACAGTTTTTTGAGCCCATTCATCGTGTACCGGCGGGACACCAAAATTCACAGAATATGAAAATTTGTACAGTATTTTGAATTTCTCGCTAAATGCCGCCATTTTCCTCTCATTCTCGCTCGCGAGACACTGGAAAACGTCACCTGTGTTTGACACTTGACCTTCTGATGATTGGGTAGTGTACACAAACCATCGCGTGCGAAGGTGTGAACTGCCAATTGGGATAATTATCTTGCTATAAATCCGTATCAAATACCCCTTTAGGTAGCTTTATTTTTTAAGGGGTACTTAATTACTGTTAATGATTAAGCCAACTTCTAAAGTTGATATACATGACTTAATATACGTGAATCTGACCCAGATCTTCGTAGGTATAAAATATACGATGTTTATTACAATGATTACGATGGAATTTCAGAAGAATTTAAGCGATATTTTATACCATTTTTTATAACTGTTTTTTGATAGGCAGTGTACAGTTTTTTCACCCAAATTCCAGTTTTTTTATGGCTCCTGTACAGTTTTGTGGTCTTTGACTTATCACATGTATGATACATGTGCATGTATTTAGCAATAAAAAGATTTTTACATCCTCTTTATAATTCACAAAATAAAAATGTTGTATAGTATGCACAGAAGTATAATCCTTCTACCAGCCCGGAAAATCAACCGCTAGCATCGTTTCCCATGTATACATAACTGGATATCGTCTTCGCATTGTAAATTTAAAACCGGTCGCTGTCAAAATAACGAAAACGAAATATACATGTTTTTTTTTTATTGGAAAAACATGTTCGTACATGTATAATAAAAGAAAATTATTTCACCATAATAAAATCGAATGCAAAAGAAAAAAAACACGCATGTTGTTTAACTAAAGATTAAAAATTAGACTAATAAACACAACTTTTGGCTTGCATAATTAAAATCAATGTAATCCATACATTCATCTCGAATAATTATCGCGCTATTATCTGTTGATCACAGGAACACAGGTTACCCGTGCGTGACAGACAGATGGCTGTTATCACTAAGTTTACCTAACGAACTTGATCATCAGAGTGGAAAATTATTTTGACTTCGAGATAACGCATGTGATTTTAATGAATGGGTACACAATTTCACTTTGAGATAACCGGGGTATTCGACTTTACCGTGTTCGACATAGAGGGGTTTATTTTAATCATTTATAAAGCAAATTTCGTCGGGACCGCGGCCTTACTTCGACATATCCGGGGTATTCGAGATATCCGTGTTCGAGATTTCAAAGTTTAGCTGTATACAATTCAGCACATTTCTGTGAATCAAGAAATTTTCAAAATTTGACTTTTATGTGGAAAAATAGGCATATACTGCATAATTAGCTCTTTCTGAGTAGGACCAACATGTGCGTGTGTTACTTTAATCTTTCATGAATTTCATTCTGTTAAATTATACCCAAAACATTAAGCTTTCTGCAGTTAAGAATAATTATTTTGCCAATTAACTAGGAATAATAACCACCCTAGACATGCACATTAAGACAGGTAACCATCAGTCAATGTTGTAACAAATGTTTCATTCATCCTTAACATTTTAGTGTATTGCATAACAACATAATTAATAGTTATAATTTTCTAAATGTATACAAAAACGAAAGTAAACTTCTTGCAGATTTTAACATTTCTACAGTTACTAAATACTTCAAGTAAAATTATTTGTGTAAAATTAATTGCACATAATACACCCAAAATCAATAAAAAACAAACAAAATAAGAATGTTTTTCTATAAACAATTTTGTTCATTTGCTTTGATTGCCAAACAACTGACAAAAAGGGAGTACATTTCAGTGATGTGATTGATGGTACAGGGGCATCACTGATTTCTTTGTTTAATTAACAGAAGCTGAATCTTGGTTCCTGAATAACCCCCGGGAAGACATAATGCAACAGCAAACAGACACTAGGAATGTGACTTAGAGCAAGTATGCAACTATATTTAACTAATTGATTCTAACAAATGTTTAAAATGCATTATCTGTAGAGTTTGGGGGTGACTCTTAATCTCAATAACATCCTGAAGTATGAATTGAAGTTCAATGTTACCGGTAATTATAAATCTTTATGATTTAGAAAGGAAAAATACCTTTTGGTCATATATTTGAACACCATATTATATCAACTTCACTGAATGATTTCAAAACAATCTGTTAACCAATATGAAGCATAGCAAACCATATATTACTGTCTATTTATATAACTTTCAGTGTTAAATGTTCAAACTATTTTTTTTAATTTCTGCTTCTCCCCTAAAAAGAAATTTTATTTGAACACCTCTAGGAATATGTTAAAATTATACTGAATGTAAAACAGTGTACAATACATCAATATAAGAAGGAAGAACTTCCTTAAATGTGAGACAGAGATTTAAGTATTTATAGTAATTGATGACACTTGATACATTATCACAGTATATACTTCTCTAGAATATAAAAGAATTCAATGAGATGACTGCCAACATAAACAAGTGATGTCCTTTATTAAGCCTTTCATGATTCACAAACTTAAAGATTTATCAAGTACTGTAATTACGCAGTATAATCCATTTGCTAAATGCCTATCTATACTACGTTCATTGAAAATCCAGCATATTCTACGAGTCATAAGAGGTTCTCTAAGTGATTAGTAATGTGAGCAAATCAAAATGCTCTCTTCTAAGAGAATAGGGTAAATAAAGAGATTTGTGAAATTTTCTGTTGGTTACTCTAATATACTGTTATGTAAGACTGTATACAATATCCACATGAACATTATTAATTCCAACTGAGATATGATATACCTACAGATGTGTTTCAAGCTGAAATCTTAGTTAATCAGAAGTTCCAATTGACTGCCTGTATCAGGTAGTAAAATCAACACCGTTGAAGAAGGTACATGAAACATGAACTTGGCCTTTTCAACAATGAAAAAAGGTAACAATGATATGCTGTAAGAAAATGACTAGGCAGTTGGTTGTATTAAAGGGTAGGCTAAAGGGCAGTACTGAAGTATCGACAGCACTTAGGGAAATCTATCTGACGGAATAATCTGCAGCTCAAGCATAAATTTATGAATGAACTGTTACGCCACCGTGGGAGGCACAATCAGGCATTTTTTTTAAAACAGGGGGTTGTATTTTTCATCAGCGTGACAAATGAAGATGCAGCAGCCATTGAGGCACAAACTTCAACCCACACGTAACCGGGGACTAATAAGGAATGGATGGCATGCCAACCACGTCTGCTCAGAAAAATGAATTCTGTCACTGGACCACAATTCGGCAGTCTCCTGTATATAAATACAATGTGAGTGGAATATTTATTGAAAAATTTAAAAACTCTTCTGCTTGTTTATTACCAAGATAGAAATCAACATTCTAGAAAATTTTATTGCGAATATTTTTCATTTTAGACATTTATTTACAAAGAGTCTATAAAGCCAGGTGTGGAATCCAGTTGAAACATAGATGCTGTTTGAAATTTTCTCCTGTTGTTCAAATTTGCAGGTGATGCCATTTTAAACCAAAATTCTAGGAATAAGAATTGAGGATTATTTGTTTTATTTCCAACACAAACTTGTTTGACAAACTTGTTTATTTCTCTTAGTGAGTGATCCCACTGAAGCTTTGATTCTCTCCTGCTGATCAGACAGAATTCTGCTAAAATGAGGGGATTTTTAGTGATATTGTTGTTCAGTTTGAACATCTGCCTCAGCTTGAAAATTGGTAAAAATTCCAAAAAGATGCTAAAAACTAAAAGATGTAAGTATACATTTGTGGTCAAAGAAATGGCGGAGGGTGGACATTGTCCAAATCAAGTCCAGGAATATCCTCAAGCTGACAAAACCATGGAGAGTACCACCGTGGCAGCTCACCCACAAAATCCATATAGTATTATACAAAGTACAAAAAATCATATACTGTCAGGGTCAAAATTCAAAGAGTTAGAAAAGCGTCTGAAGGCCGTGGAAAATATGCTAGAAGATCAAACAGTAGAAAATACATATTTGAACCAGACAATAATCAAACAAGAATCCAAACTTAAAAACTGTGACAAAATGATGAGTGATTATCACAAAAATATCACGAACATGTACCGTTTGATGAACCACCTGCAACGGGTCATAAGTACTCAGAGGAAGGGATACCAGGAGTTAGAGAGGAAAGTGTCCGGCATTGTCCTAGATGTCGTGGAGGTTAATAATGTATTGGAGAAAAAAGTGACAACATTTGACAACACTGGCAGCTTGAAACGTAAACATATCCAGGTGGAGACTATCTCAAAGGTGCTTAATTGTGGACAAACTAATCGGGAAACTACCTTCAAAGGTAAAGTATACAATATATGCTCTAAACTTACAGCATCTCACATTTCCACATTTTCTCAGTTAAGAAGGTTATGTAAGATTTAATGAGGGGAAAATAAGACAAGTTGCACTTTTTATATGTAAAAAGAAGCTCTCCTTTTTATCTTTTATCTGCTTTTTCCTTTCACAAATCTGTGGTAATTTTCAGAAATTTTACAGGCTGCCTGTTAGCAAAAAAGAAAAATCTTGATTGTTCTAGTCTCAGCGGGCAGGAAAGTTTCTCAGATCCAAATACATGAGCATAAGAAATTACTAAGTACTTCTCAGTACCAGGGACGTATATATGTCCCTATTAATACTCACAAGGACATAGTACTTTTCTGTTAATTGATATAATGCCCTGTTCACACGGAGAGTTTAATTCGCAGTAAATTAATGCGAAGTAAAATGATGCGAATTAAACTAATGCGAATTAAATTGCGTTCACACGACAGCTAATGCGAAGTAAACTAATGCGAATTATAATTTTATTTCTACAACAAGGCTTTTCAGTGAGGCTATTATGACGTCATTTACAAATCACGTCATATTGTGCAGAGCAGGTATACATTTGACATAATGTCATAGTGTCTGTACACATTTTAGTAATTAACATAATTTTCCTTTGTTTTCCACTCAAAAATAGCACAAGTACCTATATTTGACCATCGGCATGTGGCATGTGACTTAATTCTGCCTTTACGCATGCGTCAAAATTTAATTCAAATTAGCTTCGCTTAGCGTTCACACGGAGCTAATGCGAAGTAATTTAATGCGCAGTAAACTAATTCGAATTAAACTAATTCGCATTAAATTCTCCGTGTGAACGCGGATCAAATTTAATTCGCAGTAACTTACGTTTAATTCGAATTAAATTCTCCGTGTGAACAGGGCATAAGATTGCAAAATTTAGAAACATGTAAAGATACTGTAACAAAATCATGCATATAAAATAGACAAAAAAATTCTAAAACAGTGGATTTTAGCAACTGAAGTTAAATGTCTAGTTTTTTTTCCTCTTTCATAATTTTAGATTGTGCATACTTAAGTGTAAATACTAAATACATATTTTAAAAAAAAAAGATGAAAACAATTTTAATGTCTTAATTAAATCAATAGAATGACTTTTTAGAAAACAAAAAATATGAACACATAAATTCAATTCTGTGTAAAAATTTAATGTTACGATTTTTGAGATGTTATCTTCCTACAGACTATCAGCAGGAGCTATTTTTGTTTAAAATGTAAAGACGAGACGTAAGGAGGATATTAGGATACCTTAATTGTTAGACAACCTACTTTTACTAACTAGAATTTCAAGGCAGGGCTGTTACAGCCTTTTCTGGGACAAGGAGCAGGCCCATTCAAATTGGGAAAATCGACATTTTTTGTGAAATTCAAATTTTATTAATTGATAAAAAGTATTAAAAAAAAAACAAAAAAATTTTTAAATTATTCACATGATGGCTTTTAAGTCTAGACTTTGGTACAGCATCTGTCCTGGGTTAATTTAATGACTGCAGTAGGAACACAGCAGGCCAGGCATTTTATTTTTTTAAATTAATCTTAATTTATAAACACATTTGGGGGTATTATATCACAGAATTGGGAAAATTGGTTACTTTTTGTCACTGGGAATCGGTCTGATATTTGGTCTAAATTTCAGGGAAGTGTCAAGCGCTACAAGCCAATCATTATTTCCACATTTCAGTCACTGATCATTTCCCTTATCTTTCTGTGCTAACTTACCTCCAACTTTATGCCATAAAGTCAAAAGCAAAATTTATAACAAAAATTGGATGTTCCAGTCAAACATTTGATTATCAAGATATAAAAAATCAATTCTCTGTGTCTTATATAATATTCTGAAGCAAAGAATTTTTATCTAATGCTCCCTATAATAGTAAGTGTTGAACCCCCTCCCCCTCCCAATTTTAATTACCAAAGCATTTTTCTGCATGAGCAAATGTATGCAGGTCTTCTACAGGTCTAAAATGAGCTGTGTACGAGGGTTCATTTAAAAATAATCTTCTAAACTTGAGGATACCTCACCAGATGACATACATTATGTAACTTGACTGATTAACATGCTTTACTCTTTTTGTTGACATAAAACACAAACCTTATCTATTTTATATTCTTGTTTCATATCAAAAATATCTATATATACTATACAAATCAAAAAATCAAGTCTGGAAAATTCTGAATGATTCACAGGCACTAAATAACTATGTCATTAAAACTTTGTAGGAGCTCAAAAACAACGGTTAACCTCTTCAATGTTAAAAGTTAACCAATGCAATAAATATTGTTGTATTATAGTAAATAGCCTTCAGCTATCCTGTCCTGCTGTGTAATTTTGGGGGTTCAACATCACGTACAACCGCCTCCTCATAGTACACACAGCAGATTTATCTAAAAAAAAACTGATCATTAAGATTAAATTCACAAGATTCCTTAATTTTCTATTTAAAGAACCTTTTCTTTCCACAAACTTTGTGGTTAAATTAGTATTGACCACAAACCCTTAAAGTAATTAACAGGTTTGAAAAAATTCTATCATCAACCTACACAACCATTAATCCTATGATCTTTAAAAATTATGACTTCTTCACGACTTCATGGATATCATGCTTTTGATTTGGTGCAACACTGCATGCAATCACGTAACTTGCAGGAATGGTTACAGCAGACCACCATGTTTTTCTATTGAAGCAGTGCAGTGTTACAATTAAATTCACCTTGTTTATCTAAGTAAACAAATCAAATGAAAATAAACAGAAGCTTTGACAAGCATTTTTTTAATACTTGTTTTGCAGCACAAGCTATATCTGATTTTTTTTTTATTCTAGTTTTTATTCATTATCAACTTCAATTGAATAATCACCTCTTAAGATTAAAATGATCGAGAGAAGAAAAATTAACAGTTATTCATTATATGAGATTAATTACAGTTTATATGAACACATATATAATAAAATTAAACCCTTTACTTTTTGAATTAAATGTAAACATTAAAGTAAATCTCAGGCATCAGAAATCATATAAAATTCCAACATTTTTTGTAAAAATTTTGAATATTCTAGATATTATATCACATATTTGATGGGCAAAATATTCATGAATGTTGGGATGCGCAAAGACCATATAATGCTTCAAGACACTCTAATCCCATTCCATTATTGAAATACAATATTATCACCAGATAACAAGAGCTCTAGTTTGCTAAGCACAACATCTTAAATGTATGCTGGAAGAATGGAAGCATAAAAATAAGATTCTCCTCGAAATACCTATTTCTTACTTACTACATGACCTGTGTTAAACACGTCACTTTTTTAACAGTAAGGTTATCTTTAAATAAAATCAATCTAGATGGTAAACAGGGTAAGATTTTCTGTTGAAGCATCTATTTAAGCTTGTCCCCCTGTTGTTTGATACATGACTAGGATGATATCAATTACACAATCCCTCTATCAGATGTGCAAAAACTGAAATGATGGATGTTTTTAAAATAATCCACAGATTTGGTAAATTACTAGATGTCAGTGTGTGTGAACAATCTGTCTTGTTGTGTATTCTTTTTCGTTACAATCACTTTCAGATTTTCATACCAAAGATAAACACTTAAGGTTACAATAACCACATTCACACAGTGGAATGATAGCTTTTATGAATAATCATTGCTACAGAATTATAATTTTTTACTGTACAGCTAAAACAAAATAGTTTTTATATGAACCAAGAAAACTTCATATTTATTTCTAAAATTAAAATCAGGCAAATAAATTTATCTTTGAGTGTATTGACAATCCAAATCCTTGAGTGCCCTTCAAAAATGTAAATGAGCTCAACACTTTGATACCAGTTTTTTTTAATCCCTTTTGGCAAGATGTGTATGGCAACCGAATTATCTTTTTCTGGCAAACCTAAGTAACAAACAGTGGAAGAAACCTGGTTAAATAATTTGTAATAAAATGAATAATAAGTAACACTTTTTAATGGATATAAAGTAAGCTGCTGCTACATCCAGACAATTACTCATTTTGAACTGCAGCCTTGCAAGAATCTTGACACCACCAATTTCTGTCTCATTTGCAATTTTTTTACATTAAAAAAATTTCGGACTGACAGTATTGAAAATCTGTCTATAACATTATACAAAATTTTGTTTCAAGATATAAATTGCTCTTAAGTCTATAATATTCTGTGATGTTCAGAATGCAAAATTCCTCCGATAAATGAAAGAGGGTCACACAGATTAAGTAACTCATGACATCCAATCAGCTGTAAGCAATCAACAAACAACGTTATTGTGATCCAGTACACAGATGTCAACCCATGTCAAACTGCTTCTCTTTGATTCAATGCTACTCTGATTAAAAAGCCAACTTTAATGAATTGTTGATAAGATGGAATTACTAACCCAATGATACACAATTGATTAGTAAATGTTGGCTATTGTGTTTCTATGATTAAATCACGTTAAATCTTCCCATGATTCAATTTACCTCCCCTCAACATCCATTTACAAAATTTATTGGAGTCAAAATTAAAGTAAGGTTACTTAATTCACCTGAATTCAAACAGAGGATGATATATTGCCTCTTCATGCTACTATGACAATTCTGTGATTAAACATTTTTATCACTTTAACGAAAAAAATACACATTTCTGAAGATAAGCTTACAGACTTGTGGGAAAAGAGTACATTTGAGGATGATGTGCTGTCTATAAGATAAAACTCCTTTGATAATTTAAAGTAAATGTATCAGGAATGAAAGAAAAGTTTTTAGATAAAATAACAAATCATTGTTGAGATGTTGTTTTTTTTTTGCCAAGAAAAAAAAGAAAGATAGAAAGAAAAAAACTGAGAAATATGGTGGGAACACAGATTTAAATTCATGCAAAACAATCATTTGAGATTAACGTTATAGCCCTCAATAATACATTTGAAATTCCTTGCATGTACCCCCATCAAGC